AAAAAAAAATTAAAGAAAGGAGGACGATGTGCCTCTAATTCCCACAGAAGGCATTTGTCCTGCCTGTATAGTCAGTGATGGTATTCCAGTACTTTCATTCAGATATTTATTATTGTATTTCTGAGATACGTTACATTTCTTTTAAGATCTGAAACCTATCTGAAAAGAGAAAGACTTAGCACGTGCCAACTTCTGCCTGAACAGTGTGTGCCTTCTTGACAAGTTGATCGTGTGTGCAAAGGGGCATCTTATCCCTGAGATGAAGATTTGAGTATCCACAATCTCATCTATTTGCTGGGAAGTGAGTATCATTTCATCTGTAATTGCAGCAGTAGTGAATGCACAGGGGGTTGATATTATCTCTGGAAAAACACTTGTGAAATGGATATTACTGAATGCTATTAAAAATGATTTTGTAATTTTTCAAGGAGAGTGGCAAAAATCATTCTAGAGAAATATATCTGTGACAAGTGGGGGAGAAAGTTAAGATCTCAGTGAAGTTTGAGCAGGAGACACTGAGTTGAGAGGTCAGAGAATGAAGCTGAGACTGTAGCTTGCTGAAACCTTGGCTACATTCATGGTTTGGTTCCAAAATGTGATTTTTTTTTAAAGTTTATTTATTTATTGTGAGAGAGAAAGCACGAGTGGGGGGGGGGGGCAGAGATAAAGGATGGATGGAGAATCCCAAGCAGGCTCCAGACTGTCAGCACCCAGCCTGACATACGACTTGAACTCATGAACCGTGAGATCATGTGTCTTAGACTCTGGGTCTAGAGTTCTTTCTTGGCCAGCAAGAAAGCGGGATGCAGGATTAAAATGTGAGAGATGGCTAATGTCCAGGAGAAGACAAGAGCCCTGATTAAGGGTCCTTGCTTCATTTTTATTAGGATCAGAAGGCTTACAAATATGGTGATGGACGTGCGCAAAGAGACAATAAATCTGTGAACATTAACATATGGGCATGAGGGAAAGGGGGGGTTGAAGATATACGGTGTTAGGGGTTTGGGTCAATATAAAACAAAATCCTCGCAACGGGCAGATGGTTGTTAACCGCAGACATGAGACGCTGTGTCTATCTTAGGTAGCCTAGGGGATAAGACAGATAGAATGTGTAACCTCCGGGTTAACAAGGCACCTTTCTTTTATTAATTAGCTCCGCTCTGGACAACTTTGCCCTGCAGTGGTCTATAGCCCTATTTACCTGTTCACCTAATTTGCTACTTCCTTCCTGTGAAAGAAGCTTTCTGCTATAGTACTAAATGGGGGGGGGGGGGGGGGGGGGTGTTTTCACCCTGAATACCTGATCTTGTTTGCCTCCTATACCTTTGTTCTATACTGGAGCCTTTGCCCTGCCCCCTCTATACCTATTTACTTAATCTTGTTTACCCAAACTTGGGTGTGAGCATCCTTTGGCTTTGTAATTCTTTATGCCTTGTTAACCCATCAGTGCAGGCTCAGGGGATTCCTAAGTGTATTCCCCACAATCATGACCTGAGCCCAGGTTGGATACTTAACCAAATGAACTTCCCAGGTGCCCCGATCTTTAATATTTGAAAATATTGTGCATTTACAGCCTGTAGGGAGAGGAAAACACAATATTGAAAAAGAGTTGCCACAAAGGTAAAAAGGAATGGGGAAGTTGTGCTGTTGTGTATTTACTGATCTGCAAACGTTCAAGGAGCACATAAAGGGTTGCAGGTACAATAGTGTGTGGCACACAAAAGGGATAGAATTGCCTGTGGCTGTGTATACAGCACACGTCCTTTGTCCTGTGTCAATGCTGTCAGGATGCCATACATATTCCGTACTTAGCTTTTTTACAATACGTTACAAAAAGTCAGCAGTTACAGCTATTTTTCGCACTGTAATTGGCAGTTAAATTACTTAGTGGCAACCTTAGCTCAAAATCAAAGCCCCATAAGTGACCTTCTGGAAAATGGCTTATGGTCTCTCCTGCTGGTTTAGCTGAGGAAGAACCAAACAGGGGACTAAGATTTGGAGTGCTTATTTTTCATATTCAGGGAAGGAAAAGAGTGTTCTTTGGCCAAATTCCAAAGTCGTGAACAAGAAACCAAAGTTTATTAGAAATAACTTCAGATGACCTCTGAATGCCAGCCAGTCAACAACAGCCTCACCCCAGCAACTCAGCTTCTGAAAATTAGATCATTGATCATTCTGAGCTTCCAAAATTCAGTCAATCCGTTCAAGCCCCAGTCCTGAAAGACAGCCAATCAGTGACAGCCCCCGGCACGGG